CGGGCCCGAGTTCCGGGCGGAAACGCGGCCCGGGCCCCGGCGGGAGCGGCGCCCAGCGCGGACACAGGGCTCGCGGAGGGGGAAAAACACCAAACCCAACAAAATTCCATCACTCCATCGTCGGTTAAAGAAAATGATAAAACCTTTATTCGCACGAAACCGTAGGATCTAACAGTTAAAACCAGCATGTGCAACATCATAAAACAAACCGGTAAAACCTGGAAATAACCGCGTTTCCAAGGCCTCCCTCAGAACAGCGCAGCGCTCTGTCCAACCAACACAAACAAGCGACAAGGACGCCCAAAGTGACGTTTAGCGGAGAGAGGGGAGGGGGGTATGAGATCTCAATCACGAAATAGATACCACCATTAACACGGGCAGCTCCAAAAAAGCTGGAAAAGCCCTTTCTAATTGCCCTCATCTTTGCTAAAGGGCTGCATTTCACGGGCAGGCAGCGGCACCGCGTGCGAGATACCGGAGGGGAAATGGGTACAGACACCCTGCTCCCAACACTCCCCGGCATGAACAAGGACACCTCCCCGACAGACAAAAAACAAGTCGGGCATCAAGTTCTCATCCGTCTGTTAGAGCGCACCCGGTTACAAAAGTTTTGTTGCTGAAATTGGAAAGAATGTCTTTCTTCAACTCCCAGTCGTTAACGCGTAGTGTTGCCTATTACTCTGTTCCCCCTCAGTGAAACAGCACTCCAGCTGCGTCCCGAGCCCCCCAGGACTGCCGTGTAACCAGCCTGGCTCCTGATGTGTAGCTAAAACTGGCTGCCATCGTCTCTGCCTACTTGCTCCTAGAAGGGGACAGCTGTAGATGCTGTCTCCCCATACAGCCAGTATCATCCCTCTAAAGATGTAGTCAGCCCTAGTGTTAAGACCAGAAAATGACCAATAACAGGGCCTAACTCAAGAGAGAGGGGAGTAGAGAAAATGTCATCCTTTCATCACGGCGGACTTACACTCAGCCTATAGCAAGGCCAATTACACAAGAAATTAAGCAGGTAAAAGACTGAGGACAACGTTAAATCCCATTATCCAGCGCTTGTAAGCCAGTCATTCTTTTCTCAGCCGACATCTCATAACTAACGGGGGAACAAAAAAAAAACCCAAAGATAAAAAGAAAATGACAGGGAGACAAGATGGGGTATTGGTCTGTGCAGACCCCCTGCTTTCACAGGGCCATTCAGCAGTCTTTGGACAACACAGAAATTCAGTAACCCAGAGTAAAGCTAAATGAGCGACAGCTCTTCCCTCCCACCAGACGCTTGCTCTTCTGCTTAGAAGAGGTTTCAGACTCTTGTAACTTGGCACTTCCTAAGGCTTGGTCCTTCATGAGGGTCTGGGCAAGGCGAGCTGCTTTAAGTTCCCTGCAGGGGGGAGACGGAAGGAAGAAGAAAGGAAGAAAACCATGTCATGCATGAATCCTCACCAACTACAGAAGCAAACTATGAACAATCTTGCACAAGAAGGTTACTATAATACTCCAGCGCTGCTGGAAGGGAGCAACTTCTCAGCCCAGAGGGTAACATGAAGGTTACTGTAGCTGTCTCTAGAGTTTCTGCTTCAAAAGGTAGGAGTCCTGAAGATTTACCGGGAGAAAACTATGTATTGGGTCAGCAACACGCTGGTGGCAGAATGAGGAACCCCCAGCTCAGTGTTTCTCCCAGATAACAGATTTAACTGAAACCCATGTCATCTCATGCAGCACAAATATTTAAGTAAAGGCATATGCTTCTTTTCCATTTACTTTCTTCCCTGGTACTTGCTGTTCTTCCAGAGCATTCACTCTTCTGTCTACACAGAAAACCTACTCCTCAGTTTACTACTGCACTTAGAGGGGTTGTGGGGCAGTTCTTATATCCCAGCACCTCAAAACACTACTGCCAACAGCAAGGGGAAAAAAGGATATCTGTCACCATCTGATATTTCTCTTCCTTCTGTGCTTAGCCCACTATCTCAGAGCATTATCAATTTCTCATCTGCCCACTGGTTGCAGGTTGTATCAGCATTTTGCATCACCAGTGGCTGCAAGAAGCACACAAGTTCACTGGTGTAATGCAGCCAGCTCCTCCAAGCCAGAGCTGAAGCACAGCTGCTGCCTGGGCACTGCAAGTCCCTCTTACATCCTCATCATTCCCCCAGCTCCAGGCACAGGAGTTGACCAGGGATTTCTGCATGTGCAGCCTCCCAGCACTACCACCCTCCATTCATTGCTGGTGACCAGCACTGCTGTGCCCTTGCCTTCTCCCCTTCATGCCCAAGCCAGCCCTACCTTTCCAGCATGGCAGTCTTGCATTTCTCCACATTTAGCTGCTCCTGCAGCTGCACAGCTTTTCCACATGAAGGGCGGAGAACAGGGTGTTTAGTGAGAGCTGTGGCAGAAGGTCTTTGCACTGGATCAGGGTGGATCATAAGCTAGAAGGCAAAGGAGTTCAGAGCTTAGCACTCCTGTCACATATCAGCTGCAAAAGCCTCCGTCCTGTCAAGACTACTTCCTCACCTTAAGGAGCTCAAGAAAGTGGTGGGGGAGCTTCTGGGGGATGGGTGGGATGTTGCCTTTGCGGATGTGGTGCCACAGGACCCCGTTGTGAGGCAGCGGTGCTGCCCCGGCTGCCAGAGCCACTGTGAGTGCCAGGGCAAAGATGTCTGCCTTGGGCAGGTAGCAGTATTGCTGCAGAGGGAAGGGAAAGGCATTAGAAAGGAACACCTTGCTACACTAAGCAAAGGTGAGCTGGGGTATGAGCTCAAAAAGAAAGCCAAGCAAGTGTGTGTATACATATGGCATTGCCTCCACCACCCCAGTGAGCTGTTTTCCCCCCTCTTCAGGATGAAAACACTGGCAGCAGGCAGCACCACTACCCAACAGCATGCTGGCTTTCAGCCAGTCATAAGGATCTTGCAGACTACACATTGGGATCACTGCAGTAACTCCAGAGGATGGCCCAATACATGTGTACCTCCAGCCTTCACCACAAGGCAGTAACCTCCCCATGCCCAGCTCAAACTGAAGACTGCATCTGATATGTTGGCCTAAGAGTTCCTAAATCCACTCACTTGCAGCACAGATACTGTCACCTAAATACCTGAACTGAATAACACATCCAGCCTGGTTGTTCAATACTGATTCCCTTTTCATTTGTTGGCCAGAGTGACAAAACTGCAGTCAGTTTAAGAGGTGTGCTGTGCCTCCCACCTCTTGATCTGTGTTTGTTTTACAAGGCATCTGTCTGGGTAAATATATTCCTCAATAATCACATTCAGTAGTTTAATCTCAGCTGGATGTGCAAATCAAATGTCTTCGAACTGATAAAGGTTTTGTCTCACTGATCCCTCAAGGAGAACAGTCACAATAATCCAATGATAACTGCTTAGGAAGTACTTACATAGGAAGTTAAGTATTTATATTATAAGACCCACACCACTGTTGTTCATGATAAAGTGCTAATTTCACAGATTTCACAGCCAGACCAGACAGAAGAAAGAGGAGATAAGGCGAGGAGCAAGTTGGACTAATGTCTGCTCTACAGTTGATCTCTCCCTACTTGCTCTCCCACCCTGTTCTCCCCACTGCCCTGCTCTAGCAGTTGTACCTCTTGCAAAATCTCATTGGCCAAAAACCGTCTGTCTCCTTCCTCCACCTGAGGGTTTGATATTGATGTCACATGTCCAAGGTCACCTGAGACAAAGAACAAGCAACTGAAATGTAATGAAGCAAACTGAAGCCATTCTCCAATAAAAGCTTGCATTTTATAGGCACCAACAGAGAAATACTGAGTAAGAGAGCAAGCCTGCCCCTAACTCGGGAATCTGCACTTGGAAATAAGCACATGGATTTTCTGTGACTTGTCTTCTTAGAGGAATTAATTCTGGTGAGTAACTGGAGCATTCATGACTATCATATCAGTTTTGTGTACAAGTCTCTTCAGCCACAGGACAAGGCAGTCTCAGGCAGCAATGGCAGCCCTAATCTTAGGCCAGCTGTAAAGGAGGCTAAAACCTACCAATCTTATACATCACACCAGGAGAGAATTCATCTTCACTGTCACTCTCCTCCTGCCCAGCAGGACCTGAAACTGCCAGCTTGTGACAGATGAAGATATTACCTGCAAGACAGAGAAGTTCAGCAATAAGGTGATATCAGTAGTCAGGCTGCAGCAGTTGACAACTTTGTAAAAATCCCACCTGTCAAAGTAGTTAAGCTTTGCAGCCAGAGAAACCATGCACATGCTTCCCACCCATTAGTTAGCTTTCTGCCCAGCTCACATTCAGCAACACAGCTGGCAGAAGACAGTTGTATCTTTTTCATAAAATACCTCAGTGAATTCAACTTTCCCCTCCCTCTGCCTTCTAAGCTAGAAGCCTAAAGTCAGCAGGAAAAAGGAGTTTCCCTCTAAGAATATTACCCATGCGAGGGGGAGCATTTCCCTGGATGAAGAGGTGACCATCCTGAGCTGCAGAGAGGAAACCTTGTTGCTATTTTTGCAAGTACTTAATCCCACAATGTGGGTATTACACACACAAAACCTAAGTGTTGAGCAACAAGACAGCAGTAAATAAGGAAGTCCCCATCTTCCCTGGCAGCCTTACTTGCTCCACCAGAATGAAGGTGATTCCCACGAGCCAGGATTACAAAGATCATGAGACAGGAGTAAAATGCTGCCAACTATCAGAGAAACCTCAATTTTAGAGCAGCAGTAGTGGCACAAATCAAAATAAAAATTAAAAAAAAAATACCCCAAAACATGACACACAAGGCAAGGGCAAGGTCTTCTTTTCTTTAAAGCACTACAGTCAGTCTATTCAGAAGGATTTATTACAGGTTTTACCCCTGAGGGATCACTAGGAAAAGCCTCCACAAAGGAGGAGGGCGCTATACTTACTAGGTTTGATATCCAGGTGCACAAGGCCAGAGTTGTGGATGTATTTTAGTCCCATAGAGACTTGCAGCAATATTTCCTTCAGCTCTCCTTCTGGGAAATACTGCCCAAGCTTTGCATTTTCCAGCAGCACATCTTGGAGACTCCCACCTAGGGGAAGACAGTCTGAGACCTGGCAGAGGTTTTATGGAGCAACATGTTTGAAATAGCTTAGCTGCCCAGAGCACTTAGAGGCTTGCTAGTGACAAACTCCAACCACACCAGCTCTGTGTGCTCTAATGAGCAAACTTCAGCATCACCATTTGGCTCCAGCCTTTGCACTGCCCTGGAATGCCCAGCCTCCTGCTCAACAAGGATGAACCACTGCAGTTCTACCTCCAGCCTACATCTCTACATCCTGCCAGGAGGGCTGACCTGCTAATGAAGCAGAGCTGCTGCAAGTGAACAACAGGAAAATTAATTGCTTCTGCTGCTAAGATGCAGAAAGCAGGTATAGGAATGGTGGAACAAGGAAATTCCCACTAGCAGATGTTTGACTGAAAAGCATTAACATTCAACACACTTTGTTGCGTCTCCATTGAGACACTTTGGATATTTCAGAACCAGAAGATACCATGGCCTCCATCAGCTTACTTTTTACCACCTCTCCTTTAGCCTCAGATGTTCAGCCGCCAGAACACGAGCAATACATCAATCCTGCAGCAATGAGCACCACATTTCACAGTTGCCTCCACCAGATTTGAAAGCAATATTCCAAACAGCTGCCACCACTCTCCACCGAGCCCCAAAACTACAGGTGCAGTCAAAAGATGAACATTGCATATATGCCTTCAGCAACTCTTGTAGCTGAAGGTATCTTCCCCGGTTTCTCTCAAGCAGTGGTATTGCTAAGGGTAAACTCAGGTAGGAATTTACCATTCTGCCTGCAGCATCCCATTTATCCTCTGCCTCATCATTTGCTCCACTCCTTTGCAGCCGTCAACCCCTTTCTTCTAGTCAGAATGCAAGATGCCTTCATCCTCAACCAGTCACTACCCACCTCCATTAAGAGGAGGTTCTTGCCAAGATGCATGGCCCTTAATTCAGCAGCTCCTGAGTCACTCATATCAGGTGTTACTCGGACAGTTCTGGCAAAACTAACATCAGAACAGGCATTGCTTTTCCAGGCCAGCCAAAATAGAGAAACAGTTTCCAAATCCCAGAACTACAAGGGCATTCACTGCTTCTAAAACATCAGCACCACTCAGCTTCATCTAAAATTATGTGTCCTTACTGGATTCTCCACAGAAATGCAGCCCCAGGGCAGTTTACTTTCTTGTAAGCCAAAACATCCCGCATTGAAGTGCAAAAGAAGGCAACTCTGCTCATGCTGGGATCTCAGCCTTGAACCCTGTCCAGATCTTACCATTGCAGTGTTCATTCTGGATAATCATGTGATTGTCCTCTGCCCAGGCCGAGTAGTAGCGCACAACGTGGGGGTGGTGCCCCAGGACAGCGTGAGCATAAACCTCACGCAGTGCCAGCTGCCTAGGGAAGCACACACAGAAAAAGCAGAGGTGACAGGCTGCCAGAGGCTGCTTGGTACCAGGAAATAAGCCCTGGTTTGCAGCCTTGAAGTCCTGAACCCCTCCGTGCTTCCTTTCTGTCAGGTTTTGACAGACAGACTGGCTGTCACAGCTGCTGAAGCACAACCAGCCCTTGCTCAAGTGCCCTGAGAAGCTGTTAAAGAAAATGATCACTGAGCAAGTCTTTTGTTAAAGAGGCAAAAGTCAGCAGCAGCTTCAAAGACTTTTCTTTAGCATTCAGCACACCACAAGCTGGTCAATACAGATAAGAGTAGTGCTGGCCACACAGCAAGGCAAGGAGAGCTGTATGTCTGTCAAATAAACTTCTTGACAGTTATTGTAAAGAAACTGTCTGGATGGACCCAAGGTGTTTAGGTACACCATCCTCTCACTTTGCAGTGCATGTGACTTCCTCCTTCCCTAGACATTTATATCCAATAGTTGTATAGTGGTATCTTCCCCCACTCTCCCAGCTGTTATTTAGAAGTGCAGCAGCCAATTTTTGCTCATGCCACCCATCAGATACCTTTAGAGCCACACTCCCTCCTTCCCATCACACCTCTCAAGAACATGCCCATCATTTCAACTGGCAGTTCCCAGCAAGCACACTCACTCATCTGAGGATCCTGCCAGAGGCCTTTTGGAGCGTTTGATGGCATAAACACATCCATCAAGGCGTTTGATGCACTTGTAGACAGAGCCAAATTCCCCCACACCAATTTTTTCTAGTTCCAGGAACTCCTTCTTGTAGCGGGAAACCATATTGCTTGCTTTCAGAGTATATCTCTGCAAAGTCACAAAAACAGCAAAGACAAATGAGAGTTGAAAGACTTAACAGCTGTCATTGTTTTAGACATGTGCAACACTTGCTGTCACTGAGCACCCACATTGCTCCCTCTCCCATTCTGGATGCTTACCCAGGCATATGTGCAGGTGTGTGGCCAGCTCTTGAAACAGCAGTTTCAATTCTTGAAATTACCTTTCACTTGTTGTGTTTTTTTCTGACTACGTAAAGGCCACTTTCCCTGGTTTGGCCAAGTTGCAAGGCTGTTTGGTTGGTTTTATAAAGGCAGGACTCATTAGCCATAGAGGTAGAAACCAAGGAGAAATTTAGTCTAGTTGGCTGCATATGCCTACGTATAGATATAACCCTAACTCCTTGGGTTACTGCCATCACATCCCTTCTCTTGACAACCCAGAGCTGTTCCTACACCCACAGCTGATGGGGTCAGTCAGGGATGAGCAGCAAGCAACAACAACATACTGGCCTAAAGCCAGGACTTGAGAAGACTTTAGATCTATTGCCTATTTTGAGCTCAGGAGAGGAGCTTGGTGTGTTGGCTTCCTGTGACCCCAGCTATGCAAGAGCCACTTTGCCCTGGCAGGTGAGGTGTTCTGCATCAGTTCGGGATGTCCAGGTTTGAAACACCAGCTGCTGACTAATGGCAGATTAGCTGGTCTCAGTGTATTTGTTTGTATTCCCACTGATATCTCACCCAGAGACACTTTTCCAGAGAGGTTTGAAAGCTGGCAGAACTGTTAGAAGATAATTATTGCTACAATAATGGTCACTAGTTGTCTAGGAACTGCTAGTAGAGTGATGTCTACTGGCAAGGAAAATAAGAAAAGATAAGCACTGGACCATGAAGTGAACAACCAGAGTGGACTAAAGTGATTTTACTCCATCCTCCTGCATCCCTTACAGGGACAGCAGCTCATGATGCACAGTGGTTTCCACAGAAACCACTGCTGTGATTGTTGTAGTTTATGGTACATGAGCTTACAGAGGAGATCCTCGCAGCCAGTAAAGTGTGGCTCACATGAAATAGCAGCCCTTCCCAACAGGTTACATTTCATAAGGCACACATATTTGACACTATCTTAATAAGCTTGGCAGTGAAAATACCTCCTAGTACACAATTTTATACCTATGTTACATACTCAATCTCATTATCACTCAAGCAGAATAATAGTTCAGTAATTCACAAGTTACTTGAGGCTTTCTTCTAGGTAAAACAGTAATTGTGGCAGCGCTGGATGTTGCCTGGTAGCAGATTTGCTCTGCAGGTGTAGTTTTTCCATGGAGCCCATTGGCATGCAATCCCAGTCTCCTCGGCTAGAGGTTATCGTTATCCTTCCATAAACCTGGCTGTTGCACCATTACAAAAAACAATTCCACCTTTTCCAAGTTTGTCACCTCAAACAAATGTTCAGTTTAGACCTTTTCTGTCATAGCTATTCATCCTCTGGCACAGTGCCATGGTTTATATTCCAATAACAGAATAAATTCTATCAAACACCAAGCTTTAACAAACATTTTATCCAGTCTGTGGGAGGAAAATGTATGGACACTCACCTTCGTAGGTAGCTCCTGTTTAATCTGGCTTCCTGGATGAGGATCATTCCTAGAACAGAAGATTAGGAAAGTCTGGAGTATCATTTCCTTCACAGCCTAATCATGTATTTTATAGAGTTGATAAACAGGTTTTTGGTTGAGGTCTTAAAGACTGCAATTCCAGGTTAGGAATTCTTTATTTCCATTTAGAAGGCCTCCACAAAGCAATTTCAGTACTGCCCAAAGGACAGAAGGGCATTGTCCAGAGGCATCATTCTCTTTATTACTGGTGAAGCTGCAGCCATAACACTAAAGAGAACTGTTGATCCCCCACTTGCCTTCCTGAACAAAGGCAATGATTGATTGTTATTTGTATTTCTGTTACTTTTTTATGTCTGCTAACATTTACTCTACACCAACGAATACTACAGAAGTAGATGATTCATTGTTAGCAATGATAACAATGTTCAGATACTGAACATCTCCATTACTTATCTCCTTCCAACAGTGCGATTTCAGTCTGCTGCTTAAGAGTAGCTCACTTACATCTCTCCTCTGGCCTTCCGTTTGCTGTTAGGATGAAAGAGCATTTGTCGATAGGACTCCGGTGTAAAGGGATTAATGTTGACAAGAGAAGCTTGGGAAGAGTCATCAGAGTCAGCACGAGGAGTGAGCCTCAGATGTCGGAAGCCTTTGGGTGGGACCTTGGTTGCAGATGAAGGAAAAGCTGTCTTTGATAACAGGCTCTGTATCGAAAGAAGAAAACAAAAGTGGCAAATAAACCAGGAAATTTTTTTGTTCATTTTGTTTTTCGTTCTCCTGTAACTCAAGGAGAATTCAGCTCCCTGCCTTGGAATAGCTGAATCATTAAATCCCTGTGTCCCTAGTTTAGTCCCCACAGTTTTCATTTTCCCCAAAGCATTTCATTCTTTGTTAAGCCCTTTCATACTCTATTCCCTTCTCACTTGGGTGAGGCCTGCAGAGCCATTTTGGCAAGCACAGTCCTCAAGAGGAGCCAGCTGCTCCCTTTTCCCTCCTACAGAGAGGCAGAAATTGCATCATACGTTGCATTAACATGGAAGACCTAGTTCTGCCAGGCACAGACTGTTGCATCCATTTGGTCAGGGGAGGTTTGCCAGCAGGTGAGCTAGAGCACCGCCCAAGTTTCCCTGCACTAAGCAGCTTTAGGATAGGGGAAGTTGCTAGAAATATTTTTTTTACACAGCTACAAGCAAAGCAGAAATAACCCATTTCTCCTTATGAATAAAAACCAGTTTCAGGAATTTAAGTTCAGAAAGAACCTCTGGCTCTTCTGTAGTTCACCTTGCCACAGAACACAGGCCATTGTGTTTCGCTCACTAGTCCAGAACCTTGGGCCATGGAAAGCATAGACACCAGTCTAGAGATGAAGACAAAAATCTACTCACTCTGATTTGAGTCCTTCAGTTTACCATCAGCTTTTAAAAAAAATCTGTTTGGTTTGAACTTGTTTCAGCTTCAAGAAAGTGGTATAAGGCCTAAAGGATTATTTAACATTGTGCTTTCTTCCTAGTTAAGAACCCTTTAAGAACACAGAAGTCTCCCTGTTGAAGATCAAGGTACGTGTATCTTTTCAATCCCACAGTGGTCTCACTATTACGATCCTGGAGCCACATCTCCACTCACATCTGGTGGCTCTGGCTGCAGTTTTAGATGGGGCTCCACTCTCTTATCCTTTCTGTCACTTTCAAATATTCTCCCAGATTTTTCTACAAGCAGATTTAGGCCCTTGAGAGCCCATCTTTTGCAGCCTGCTTGGAAAACAAGACCTTTATCCCAGAAGAGAAAGGAAAAGAGATTGTTGATTTCATGCAATTGCTGCTTATGGGCTACAACATGACAAACTACAAGCAGCATGTTTTGAATCATCCAGCCAACATGTTATCTACCCAATGCACACCCTGAAAGCAGCCTTCACTACCTGCAGCACATCTGGTCTGCAAAAGATTTTTACAGACCTCTATCGTGGTTTAATCCCTGCCAGCAAATAAGCCCTCTGCTTGTGAGCCCTTTGCTCACAACTACAAAGCCTTCCTCAGAGGGATGGGGAGCAGAAACAGGGGAAAATAGGTAAGACCCGTGGGTTGAGAAAAGAGTAAGTTCACTATTAAAATAAAATATAATAAGTATTATTGCTATGAAAAGAGACAGCAAAAAGAGAAATAAAACCCAACACAGACAAATGATTCACAATTGCTCACCACCTGCTGACTGATGGCCAGCCCATCCCTGGGCCCTAATCAGCCCCTCCTGGCTAATTTCCTTCTGTTTGTATGTCGAACACGACATTCTATGCCATGAACTTTCCTGTCTTTTTTCCTGGCAGCTGTCCTGGCTGTGGAACCACACAGCTGCTGGTGCTTCTGCTCACTGGCAGAACATGGGAAACTGAAAAGGCCTTGACTTTGGGTAAACACTACTCAGTAACAGCCGTGTTTAGCAACACTGTCCTTAAGCCCAAAATCACAGTGCAGTACCAGTTACTAGGAGAAAATTAACTCCAGCCAAAGCAAGGACAACTTCTCACCTATGTTAAGGCGAGATTTAGGGAGATTTCTTATAAGGGGTCACTGCAGGAAATTTTTGGAGCGATGTCTTTTCAACTGCTTTCTCCTAGGGTGTGGGAGGCCATTCCTCAGGAAATACTGCCACACAGTCAGCCATATAAGGCCAGAAGATCATCCTTCTCTCCACATAAACAGGTTTTTGTAGGAGGACAGAAGTCAAATCCTAGCTCAGAAGCATTGAAGGACTGATCTTCTGTGTATCACTTAAGCAAAAGACCAAACAATCTATCAATAGAGCAGGAGCATTGAGAGAAGACCAACAGCTACGCTTCACTGCAGGTCTGGACTGCTTGGAGCCAAGCAGACAGCAGAAATTATCTAGGAATAGAGAAGCTAGTGCCAAGTCTCCACCTGTGCTTATTCAAGACAAAATGCAGTTGTCCCTCTCCAAGAAGTTACACATAAAACAGGGGCTGGGCTCATTCTCCCAAAACACTGGTTCAGTAGCTGAGTTGCATTTTAGGGCAGTGACAGAGTTGAAGAGAGGCTAACTTCCCCTCCATAAGCACACATTGGTTTGTTACCCCTTCCACAGCGGATTTGCTACCCTGAGAACAAAGGCCTGCTTTTCTCAGATTCACTTAGCAACTGTTTCACACAAAAAGAAAAACCATGGCACCAAACAACAAGCTGGTTGGAGCTGATCAGACTTGCCAGGCAGACTACACATCCCAGCCATAATGCCACTTCCAATTCTCAAGACAAAACCCACTTGTATACAAAAATGTTCTGAACAGAGCAGCAAGTGCAGCTGTCCACCTCCAAGTTCCCACCAAACAATGGGCTTCTTGAAGGGAGATGCATTTATCTCCCACAGAAGTGCTACAGACCTGCCATTACCTTAGGAGTGTGCGGGGTGTCGCAGAGCTGCAGCTTTTTCCAGGTGATGTGCAGTGGTGTCTCAGGTTTACTCCAGCTCTTGTTCACAGGTGGGGAAGACTTCAGGGTGGGACTCATCCAGGCTTTTGTCGTGCTCAGGAAAATCTCACTAAGCTTTCTCTGAGGGGTTGCTGGCAGAGGACTGCTCTCTTGCCATTTCTGGAACTCTGAGCTTCTGGGAGGGCTCAAGCTCAGGGAGTCCTCCTCATTTACACTTCTGTCTTCACTCTCTTCACCACAACTGGAAAAGTCCAGTCGCTGAATGAACTCATTGCTGTTGTCCCAGTCATCCATGTTACCACATGAAACAGAACAGGTAGAGCTGATACTGGCCTATTTTGAAGAGAAAGACAACATTATTTACAGATAAACTATCTTCTTCCTTGCTCCAGCAAGGGCATGAGTTCTGCTGACCACAATCCTCAATCCCACATACACAGAAACCTTGGTCATCCATCAGTGTAATTAGGTAGCATTTATTAATGAAGACCACCCCAGAATTACCAGATACAAAGCTACTCAGCTACTGCTCATGTAACAACAGATTTTTGCTTTTTGCCTTATTGGCATAAGTCAAATACAACTCAGAAGCCACTGCCTTTCCCAGTAAGTTTCCAAGAGAACTCCTCCATCCACTGCTCTCATCACACAAGGAAACACATCCTAAAGAATAACACACAGAGCCTCCACCCACTCTCTTCTACATTAAATTTCTCAGCCAGAGAGGTGAGGGAGAGAAATTCCATGCTACATACAGCTGTAAAAGCAGAGGGTGCCCCAAGGAGTCACCAGATACCCCACAGACAGCCTCCCTCCTGCCCTGGAGCATTTATAACCACCCCACACCAGAGCCAATGCTAATGGGAAACATCTGGAGCTTGGCAGCACCTGTCCACAGTTGCCTGGTGGATGAGGAAATCTGTCTGGATGTGGATTTGTGGTGCCAACAACCAGCTCTGCAGGGAGCCAGGATTCTCTCTCAGTTGGAGTCATCTTCCTGCTCCTGCATGCTCGTCCCTTCTCCAGCTCCCTGGGGCTTGTAAAGGGGGTGATGTTTGCTGACAGTCTGTCTGCTCCATAATCCTATCAGAGATCCAGTCTTTGTGGCTTTACCACTATAAGTTATTTGTCTTGTGGTGATGGGGCCCTGTGTTTCCTTTAAGTCTGAATTTCTTAAACATCCTGCATTTAGAGATGTGTAAGTTTGGGCAAGCGTTGAAGCCTGCATGGAGATGTCATTAGCCTAATGTATAATGTACAGATATATGAATGTGTAATTTGTAAGACTTCAGGAGAGAGTTAGGAGCTGTACCCAGGTCTTGGGATAGCTTCCCATTTGAGGTTTCAAAGGAGAGGAGGGAGGAGCTGTGTTGGTGAAGGCAGTCCCAGAGGTGGGAGTGTTGTGTTGCTCCCTGGGAGCAGGTCAATGTCTCCCCTCACTGCACCTCTGTGAAAAACAGGAGTCTTCTGAGCCTTTGGGAACATGTGTTTCAAAGTGGGACCAGAGCAAGTTTTAACTAATTGGGAACAAGGTACAGCAGCCTTTTTTCTTTGCCTTAGGGAGAGCTGCTAGAAAAGGACGTGCAGAGATTGGAAGTGGCTGCAGCCCACAGGAGATGGGTGCCTGGAAGAAGCAGCGCCTGCTTTCCTTTGCACACATGAAGGGCAATCCCCACCAGGACACACAGGGCCTGGTCTGAGGTCTCTGTGCTCTCCTAACCCATTCCTAAAATGAAAAGTATGGCTATATGGCTCTCTGAAATTTCTAGTTAAAACGAACATTTAATTTGATACACAAATGAATTGTATCCAATTCACCAAAACAGCCCCAGGAGGACATTCCAGGAGCCCAGTACTGGTGTTATCTGGCCCAGAGGTTGCAGTATTTCTTGCAGGCACAGAGCTGTTGTTGCCACGCAGCCTCTCTTAGCCTAAAATGCAGATGCTGCATCTCCCTGTGCCGTATCCTGAGCGAGGTCCAAAAGCCTGGCAGGGAAAGCACTGGCTGCTTTCTGCTATGACAAACTGTGTCTGCAGCATCTGGCCAGCTGAGATCCAGGACCACTTTACTACTGCTGTGATCTGACTGCATCAATCAGATGTTCAGTACCTGAAGCATTAGATTGAATGTATTTATTCTGAAGAAATAATGTTTTTAGTCCCCATGACTACATATTTTTAATAACTAAGCAAGGAAATTTCTTCAGACCGGTTTTCAATCCCACCTTAAACAATTTTTAAACTTCCCCCCCACCCCCACCTCAGGATTTAGAGGCAGTATCCATTTTTCTAAGGAGGGATGTGATATGTAAAGGGAAAAACTTGGACCTGCTGTGTAAAGAAGGCCCAGATTGTTCATCATGCATTTTAAAGATAAAAGCTACCACACTTTCACTTACATTTTTCCTGACTGTTCAATGATCTGATGACAATTTCCTGAGCCCTCAGCTGGAGGGAAAAGGTGTTCATTTTCTTTTGACGTAGAGTTTTTATTTCTAAAAGGGTAATATTATCTTCCAGCCTAAATCTTTTCAATTTTGGTGAAATAATAAAACAGTAGAAAATGCGGCCTTTGTTTTTTGCATGTATCTAACACACATTGCACCCTCAGCAGGCCTGGATTGCTGGCCAAAGCCCTATCAGTTGCTCTGGTAGCACCAGGTCACTTGTCCCATGGGTTTTTTCAGCAAAGCCAGGAGCTCAGAGCACAATGAGGTTTCACACATCTCAGAGCCAGCAGTGGCAGCCCCTGCTCCTTGTCACTGGTTGCTCTTCCCAATGCATCCCCTCCCTTGTGCTGGGGCAATACTGGTGTGACTGCATTGCTGAGGGGACCAGGAACAGTTCTGCACCACAAATAGCTTGTGTGGGTCATGAAGGAATTCTTATTTGGGATTTGTTTCCTGCCTAGATTGCTTGGGGACAGACACTTGACATTTGTAGCAGCACTACTGTGGAGATGAAGATAGAAACGAGCTGTCACTTCAGCGTCACCAACATGCAAAAATATATTCATCCAAATGAAGATTGGCACTGTCTATACAGTTAAAGCAAAGCATGTGGCCAAGTATTTGCAGAATCTGGCTTTTCTTTACACAGTAACAAAATATTGTGCAGGGTTTGTTTCTTTTTTTCTTTACCAGTCACCTTCTATGAAAAACTCCATCTGCTAAAATCCACCTACTCTGGTCTATAGCTCTGCAAAGTAAACTTGTGCATGGGCTTTGTGAAACAATATGCCCACTCAGTGTTGGAGTTGTCTGAAAGGAAGCTCACAGCAAATGGATGCTAATGTTACCAATAAAAAAAGAGGAAAAAACCCAAACCCCACTGCTGAGGAAACTGGATGATGCGTTTCTTAATGGAGTATTGAACACTCAGAACTGCTCAACAGGAAAAAAGTTAGACAATTAAGGCTTTTATGACAATATCTTCCTTTTAATTGTGGCCCGCTTAATTGGGTAATTCAATTAATCAGAAAGACCTAGGGAACCAAATTAATCCTAATGACACTTAATGACATTGGTGGTGGCATAAGGAGGATGGTAATTACAAAGAGTTGGCTGCCTGTAGATGCCTTGGCCATGCTTGTGTCCCCATCTTTCAATCTCAAGCTGATTCTACTGGTTCCGCCCAAAACTGTTTCACAACCCTCTGCAGCACATACGTACGTGTATATGTATATACACGTACATATATATATATGTATCTATATATGTGTATATAGATACATATATATAATGTATACATAAATAAAATTTATTTATGTATATATGTGTATACATATGAATATACATACATTATATATGTATATACATATTCATACAAATAACATATATATATGTATACGTGTATGTGTGTGTATATATGTACGTGTATATGTATACACACACACACATCAGTACATACTGGATCAGTATCCCTGACTCTCAGATTTGTGGCTCGAACCTTTCACCACAGCCATTTGGGGCGGGGGGAGGGTGCGAGCCTGCCCCGTTGCTGGCCCTGAGGCTTGTCTGCCCAGTTCCCGTGGCTTTCCCGGCAGGATGGCTTTCCCGGGGCGGGGGGAGGCAGCTGCCCGGTACCGGGGTCACAGCCCGGGGGGGACAGAAGGCGGGCTCTGCCTGCGCGGGGAGGTGAAGCACGGGCAGGCGGACTGCGCCCCGCGCTCCTCCGGGAGCCGGGATCTCCGCCGGGAGCCGGGATCTCCTCCGGGAGCCGGGATCTCCTCCG